TGCTCAGTGTCGGCTGACACCTGCAGCCCTTTCTTCAGATTTGGAGTAGGGGTCTAACGTCTACATGGCTGATGTTCGGCCTGTTGCTAAGCAATGGGAGAAGACCAAGATTACAAACGGCTCTGCTTTATGGAAGCATGTGTGTCCATGTGGGCTTTTTCTCTGAGATATGATTGTTGAGTGACCTTGTTTCATCCCTGCTCATCTGATCAAAACCGAAAGTGTTGCCATGGAAACCAAGACCAGTCCAGACGTAGGATAAACAAAGATTACGGTTACATTTGTGCTTTTTTTTATTGCTTTTGTTTCTCAAGGCTATTCCTGCATCCACATGTCTGAGGTCTGTTTACAAGCCACAGGGAAGTGATACTGAGCTCTGATGATCTAAACGCCTCCCTAAGCACAGCTTCCTGCGTCAGACACACAACCGTTCCACTGGTTTATTTATAATTATTATACATTATTTACTTTGTCTTTGGTGCATGCTGTTCTTGTGTCTCCTGCAATAAAGTATTAGAGCCAGGTATAACCATCAAGAGAGAAGTGAACTAATATGTACATGGGAATAAATTAACCTGACATTAATCTTCATTTCATCAACATAAACTAGTTGTTAATAGAAATGTACAGTTATGACCCACTGAACTTTAGGATGCAAGTAAGTTGCTCCACAGGGCTTAGGTGACACGTTACTGACAAATCAGGGGAAAAGCTTAGTTTGCATATAATTACAAATAATTACTAATATCAAACAAGAAAGGCACTGACCTCCACCAAGGCCATAAAATATATATATCCTTTATTTAACCAGGTAAAGACTCATTGAGATTAAAATCTCTTTTCCAAGAGCGACCTGGCCAAGAAGGGCAGCATGAAAAAAGTTACAACAGATAAAACACAGACAATACAGGTAGACAAATACAGCTGTAAAACACAAGTAAAATGGCACATTAGCCGGTCAATATGCAAAATAAAAGAAACTATTAAAAATCATTAAAAACTGGCAAAATGTAAAACGACTTCAATTTTGGGATATACGAACACACACATCTACCAATGGTTTCTTGTTCTCTTGTCCTTTAAGATGGACTTGAATTCCCCCAAGGTGAAAATAATGTGTGTATTTAGCCAGTTATTTAGGTCAGTGCATTGGCCCATGCTTCACCCTTTTACCTATTTCAGTCAGTGTGTCTTTGATATGTTCATTAGAAGCAGCATATAGCAAGAGATTGGCGTCTAGCCTCGGGCATCATCACTCCACAGATTTACATCGAACATTGAGTGATGATTAAATAACTATTCCCCCGAGCATACAGGTGGATGCTGGAGTAGAAGCTGGGGTGGTGGGGCAGGCGAGCAGCAGCAACGTGGAAGCAGCAGCAGCAGCAGCATTAGCGAGGCAGAGGCATGCTGACCTGGCAGCTTAAATAGAGCGGCAAGTTTAGGAGAATGTGTTTGGTTGGTTGTAAGAGGGACGAGGCGCGTCACGTGTAAATGTATCATTGGTTCTCGAGTTGACTGCCTGAACTAGCTCGAAGGCTAATCTCCCCATTTCATGAAAATTGCTCCAAAAGTTTTTTAATAATCTTGTTGACGAATCACTGAAAAGAAAATGAAGGGGAGGATTTGCCTGGAAAGTTGGTTGGGGTTTAGTGTTTGCTTGCCGTGTATACATGTCTATGGAAGATCATTGTTCCCAAGATCCATCTTTTGTTTTGTCCCTTACATCCATTGGATTAACAAAGTCACATACATCGTTGATGGTTTTTCACATCATTTTTGCAAAGAAGCAGGCTACCTTAGTATTTGCATGTATTCCCACAGCAGTAGTGTCTAAGGCCTACAATTTGTTTGCTTCCAGTGAATATTCAGCACCATTAATGAGATTTCTAGCAAGTTTCCTCTTATTTTGTAGCCGTCCTGTAACTACTGTGGATGGGTTTTACTCTCACGGCACATTGCTTTCAGTTGCAGCACAGAAATGGGTAGGGAGCAAAAACAGAGCTAATGAGAAGAGTGAAGTGAATATTGGAACTATGTGCCAGGTGGTCAGAAACTCAACTCCAAATGAGTGATAGTGTTGCTTTGTATCTACTAGATGCAACTGTTAGCAAACATGTGTACCATACTACCCTGTGAAGGGATGATATGCAAATGTTGTTGTTATTGCAGGTGTATAAACAATAATATGACAATAAGAGTTATCACAACATTGGTATGTTGTGCCATGTTGTGGACATAGTAGCTGGTCTAACTCAGCCAGCATGGAGTCTGGTTGCATCCAGTTGTGTGGACTATGTTGCGTAAACCAGTCAGCTCAGGGACAAGCGTGTGTGTTTACTATGTCAGCAGAGAGGCAGGTGGAGCTCAGAGCCTGCTGTATGTAAACATCATTTACATCGCTGTGACCGTGAGATCTTGCTGATAATCCTCACAGTCGTTTAATGAGGTGACTAGCTTTCAGAAAGACTCTCTCCATGCGTTACCATTTGTGATCGGGCATCTCAGACAAAGAAATGGCTGAGCCGTTACAAGAGCCATAATCACTCAACAACACTGCCACTACTTAATGATTTATAAGATGTGGAGTCAGGGATTTCTGCCTGCGCTGACTGACAGCTTTGCAGATAAAGAAAGAGGTTCGGTCCCATGTTAAACATAGCAGTATATGCTGATAAATTATGAAGTAGGAAAGTAAATCTACTGTAGGAGCAGATGTGTGTCCCTGGGTTCATGGAGAGAAACTGCAGGTTTTTTTCTTACCCACATCCTGCAATCGATCTGTGCTAGAAATCCCATCTGAGCAGGTGCACAGAGATAAACACGAGAAGGCAAGGCCACCTCAGATTTGCCACCAAGCCAAAACAGTCAACGAAAGGCCGCAGGCAGTTGCCAGGCAACACTATCCCTAGCACAGCAGGAAGTGGAGTCGAACATTAATCACTTTCAGCACCATCTCACGAGAGTCAGCGCTACAGTGCTCTGGTCACAGAGGTTTCTCTGTGTTCAGGCACACTGGTTTATACCTGTATTACCAGATTTTCTAGCAGGAATGAGATGTCTTTAGGAAGTGATTAAAGGAAAAACTGCATTTCTGAGAAATATTATTACATCAGTCCATTTGTGTCTCTCTTTATGTGTCAACTGTGTAAACACTTTGTTTTGCAGGGAGATAAGTTAAATCTGTTTCCAATCATTTATGGTGTGCCTGGAGAATTTATTTGGCAATACATTTTCTTAAAAAACAAAGCATGAGGGATGTCTGCCTGAATTTCAGTCTGCTTCAAATATGTTTGTATTACCTGCCAAAGCACAGCTTTTCAAGGCAAGTCCAGCTCCAACAGAGTTTCTGAAATCACATCTACCCTGCCATGCTCGTCTGCCTCACAAGGGCGGGGATCCAGTCTTGCACCAAGACAGAAATCCTGATAACAATGTCTGCAAAACAGCTGAAATGCAAGTCGTATTAAAAGCACAGCAAGGAAAAGAGGTCAGTTGATATTATGTAGCCTGCTTTCCTCTACTGCTGACTCCGCTCTTAGTCAAACGACTTTAATTCAAAGCAAAATGATTGTCGCAGATGAAAATGACTGAGTGAATGGACTTCAAGGCTGACCGATAGTGCTGATCACCTGGTCTGTCATCCTGATATTTAGAAGAGAATATATTTCATATGACATTAAAATATTCTGTGTCCATGTTAATATTAATTTATAAAATGATTTCTGGTGGCATTTTGAGTAGGCGGCCACATTGGTGTAGCAGCTTATTGGCACATACTCAGGCTCTTAAAGCTTTGCCAGGCTAGCTGAGGCAGATCTATGAATTCAGGAAAACCCGAGAAAAAAAATCCCAAAAGGCATGTAGGCGGATACACTTGAGTAAAAAATGACAAGGTTTTCCCCGCTCAGTCAGCGCTCATAAACAGACTTAATCAAATACATATACAGAGTCTGCACATTAAGTAACAATTAAATGCGCAAAATTAGGAAACATGAAAAGGCTGAAAAGACATAGCTTAGCCATCAAGTAATGTTCTGATGTAAACAGTTAAACCAGTTTGTTACCAGGCTAATCAACAGCTGAACACCCACAGAAATGCCCTAATTTGAGGAGTATATCATCACATTTTAAAGCCCTCAAAGACTGGAATCAAATGTGCTGCTTGTTTTCTATGTTTCAGCTACAAGGTCAAAAAACACAAAGACTTCAATGCTGCTGAATCACCATTGATTCACGAATTGACAACCAATACAGAGTATTACTCATTCAAAGCCCTAGAAGAATTAATCAACCAAAGATTGTTCAGTTTATGAATGGGTACCTGTATGGTGACAACATAAAAAAAAAAAAAGTGGCAGTCAAAACATGTAGTGATTGCTAAACTATTCAGTTGTCAGATGGTAGAGTGAAGATGGACTGCATGGGGAAAAGCCAAGTGCTCAGTAGGGCCACATTCAGCTACATGTTGGTGACATATATGTCTAATTTAGATAAGACATACAAGAACATCCAGCCACCTGGGTGTTTGTTTCCCCATGGCCAAAAAGTAAACATCACAAAAAGTGTTATAGCTGTATCACTTTTGGTTGACAATGACACTGCAATGTGATGTCTCTAAATTGGACCAAAAGGTCAACAGGACATTATAATGAGGGGAAAGATCAAAGGGTCACAAAGAAGATATTGAATATTGAGTCAATTACTGTATAGATCTCCTTATTGATCATATTAGACTGAGTGTGATATTGATGAAGATGTAAAACCATCATTAACTGTTTCCAACAGCTGTACAGCCATTATAATAGCTTTCTTCTAATCCCGTTGGACTTCATTTCAGCTCTCTCTGGTTTTCACAATTGTTGCGTCTTGGCTGCGCATCTTCCGTGCGGCCACCTTGGGTAAACAGTGCCTTCTGGGTTTGAGAGCACCACCTCTGTCGAAAACACGTCAATCACTGCAGCAGCAGGCCTGCGAGGAGCCACAGGAAGCTGGTGAGACGCAGACTGCTCATTATCTCCATGGCTGCTGATGAGAGCCGACAGGAGTCGAACCTGCCCGAAATGCGCCAACTCGGGTGTGCGTTCGTGTGTTTATAGAGCAATACGTCCAGCTGATTAACACACGCTCATCGGTTGTTGTCAGCAGTTAAGAAAGTCTTCTCTTTACGTAATCGTTTTCCCCCCAATTATGCACATGGTACATTGATGCCGCGTGGACCAGGATTATTTTTGCAGAGGAGATCTCTAGTGCTCTCCCCTCCTCCCCACATCCGCTGTTGTCCTCAACAGCAGACACACGGACTCACAGACTGGGACTTTTTGTCTGGAGCACCATTGTAAACAGGCGAGGAGCCGTTTTCATCAAATACAACATCGCTCCATCATAGGTTGAAGGTAGGTGTCTGCTCGGTCTCTTTCTCCATCTCTCGGCTCACGTTTCCATGTTGTGCGCGTTTGTTTTCGAGCAGAATGGTGCAATGCAACGTTTGCACAGCTCTTCTTCAAATTGATAAGGGCATTTCAGAAAAATGACATAACGTAGGCTTATATTTGCATGATTTCACATTTGTATGTGTTTTATTATTTGATTTCTGCGTTTTAGTGTGGAATTGTCTTGTTCTGTCTGAGAAAGACTAGAGACAGAGAGTGAGAGTGGGGGGGGGGGGGGGGGGGGGGGGGGGGGGGGGGGGGGGAGAGAGAAAGAGAAAAATAAGAAGAGGAAGAAAATCAATGCATGATCTTTCCAGAGTGTGAATGCACATGGTTTAGCTGAGTATCTGGTGTGAGCTGGCACATTTGTTATAGCGGAAGCAGCAGGAGGGAGTTTGCATTGTATACAATATGCGTGAGTAGGCTCGAGAGAGAGTGGATCCTTATATGTCATAATGCATGTCCAAAAGGAACACAGATGTGAGAAGTAACTTAAGACATGTACTTAAGTACTGTGCAGTAAGCACAATGCAAAGGCCTACTTTACTTTAATATTTTACTCTTGGATGACATTTGAGATGTAGCTAATTCACTCAGTGGATGCTGGTGCCATGATTCCAGGCTGCACACTACTTTCTTGTGATTTAAACTTTTACTTGCAAAACAACAGAACATTTAAAAAACGAACTACTCCACAGCTTTATAAAGCAATTGTATTGATTGCCACTACATTAAAATACTGGTTGAAAGGAACTATTCTTCTCAATGAATCTAATTACTGAATACATTAAATAAATAAATGCTTCTTTGTGTTTGTTCATGACCATGCAAGGTGTGTTTATTGGAATGTTGCATATGGATGACTAATGGGATCATAATTGAAAGTGACATGTTTTTTACCTATCATTACAGACATTACTAACAAACAGTTTAAAGCTTTTGAAACATCAGCAACAGCATCACTTATTTAGTGTGTGTCTCTGTATTAAAAGACTTGTCATTGTAGGAGTGACAGCAGGTTTACATTTTCATTAATTTGTATCTCAGATTATCTCACTATACCATTGTGGTGTTGGAATTTGAATATTTTTTCCTTGGCTGCATAAATGTTCATACGTGTTTTCCATGTGTTTAGGTTATAATAATATTCTTATACAAAGCACAATATGCACTCCCGTCTATTAATAATATCCGTTTTCGGCTTTTGTTTTTGCTTTTTTCAGCCTTCAGTCAGCAATGCCTGGGAATCGTCCAACTGCTCCTCCCTGTTGTTCTCTGAGAATGGGATCCTAGTAAACCTCTCTGGGATTTAGTTCAACTGCTAGCATGTTGCAGCCTTCCACCAGAACAGGTGACTTCCTGTTGGAAACATTACCTCATTGGAGAAAGCGTCCGAGATGGGTTCTCTCCTTGACCCTTTGCATGGCTCTCCTCTGGCTTCCAGGGGCGACGGCATCGATCCTAAACTGCCACAAGACATGCATCTGCGCCTCAAACATAGTGAGCTGCTCCAAGATGAATCTGACCTACGTCCCGAGAGGTATACCACTTTACACTGCTGTGCTGGATATCAGCTACAATGAGATAGATAGGCTGCGAGCTGACTGGACCCTGGCCAAGCTCCCGAAGCTCCATAACCTCCTCCTCAGCCATAATGGTCTCAACTTCCTGTCTTCAGAGGCGTTCGTAAATGTGAAGCACCTACGTTACTTGGACCTGTCCTCAAACAACTTGGAATTGCTGGACGAGTTCATCTTTGAACCTTTGGTCAACCTGGAGGTCCTCTTGCTGTATAATAACCAAATTTCCCAGATTAACCGCGCAGCCTTTATCACCGTGGTCAAACTTCAGAAGCTCTACCTTAGTCAAAACCAAATCTCCCGCTTTCCCGCGGAGCTGGTCAAGGAAAAGTCCCGCCTAGAGAACCTTAGTCTGCTGGATGTGTCCTCCAACAAAATCAAGATGCTACTCATTGATGAACTCCAGGAACTGCCTGCCTGGATTAGAAATGGCCTCTACTTTCACAATAACCCTCTGCTGTGTCACTGTGATCTCTACACACTCCTCGCCCATTGGTATATTCGAAAGCTCAACTCTGCGGTGGATTTTAAAGATGAATACACGTGTATCCTGCCTGGCCCTCAAAAAACCAAAGTGGGTGTTTTTGAACTCAGCGGTTATCACATGAACTGCAGCACATTCAAGGAGGCAGATGAAGAGGCATTTCTGGAGCAGAGGCTGATCCTTGGCTGTGACACCAAACACAAGAACATGGTAAAGACCTGGATAATGCCTGGTAATGTCGTGGTGATGCCTGGAAGCAACCAAACCGCCAAAGTCGTGCAAGATGGTAAGCTGCAGATTACTTCAGTGAGGAACGAGGATTCTGGGACGTACACTTGCTTTGCGACAAGCGAGGCCTTCAATGAAACGATCTATGTGGTGCTGAAGGTCCACAACTTTACAATGGACGGGATTGGGGACTCCCTGAACACAGCTTACACAACCTTAGTGGGCTGTCTGTCCAGTGTGGTTCTGGTGCTTATGTATCTTTACCTGACGCCGTGTCGCTGCTTCTGTTGCCCCAACAAAGGAAAGACGCGGGGTGAGGACAGCATCCACTCGTCCATGCTCAGTGTGACACCGACCCATGAGGAACCAACGCTGAAGGCCGATTTGAACAGGCACGTGGCATTCATAGACTCCAAGGACTTGCAGGGCCAAAACGGCAAGCTAAACCCCAATGGGGATGGGGATGAGGATGAGGATGAGGATGATGATGATATGGATGCAGAGGCTGGTTCTCTTATGAAGGGCAAGAGGAAGAAGTCAGTAGCAGAGTCCATCAGCTCCGTCTTCTCAGACACTCCCATGGTGGTCTGAGGTGTGACCGGCAATGACGATGAATGCCACATGACTGGGTGTATATGGTACAACATTAGCCATGTTTTAGTTAATATAAACTGTAACTGTGACCTTGGCGGAGAAAACAAAAGAAGGCTGTTCATCTGTAGTTGCTGGCACGTGGAAATAAGGATTTTAAAGGGAGTTTTAAAAAAAAAAACTGTCTTGTCAACAAGTACAAGAAGCAGGACTTTTCCAGCATTTTAATCTGTAGCACTTAATATTCATACTGTGAAGGAATGGCAGTGTACATGAACATTGGAAACTACTGAAGTCTTATGAGAGTGAAATGTAGATGATGTATTGTCAATATAAGCTCTCAGGAAGTGATCCATTAAACTGCGTGTGGAGAATACATATGATTCGATGCACAGGTTGAAATTTGATTGGAAGTATACAGTGAACCCATGGCTGGCTCATAATAATTATTATTACAAAGACTAGAATAGATTGCATCTTACCTAAACATTAGAGCATAGACCACTTTATACCACTCTTCTGTTAACACAGGGACAGAGACTCAGAAAGGCCACCGTCACCAGGCTGTGATCTATCTATAACCTTGAGTCATCTATAGAGGAACTGCATGCCATAAACCCACATTACAGGTCTCTAACTGATCTGTATAAGTAGGGGAAGAAAACGTATTAATTGGAAGTTTAGTCATTTGTATAAAGAAAAAGCAGTAGCACAAACATTAAATTAAGAAGGTAATTTCACTGTACTTCATAGCTGATACCTGCAATGTACTAAGATATAGTTTTTCAGACAGATCTTTATTTTGATTTGATGTATAGTCTTATGTGTAGCGATGTAGGGGAAATTGCATAATTGCTAATTGCATCGAAAGCAATTTGGAGGGGTACATTTACATAGAGGTATGGTATAAACTAGTTAGACAGCTCGAGGCGGATCAATGCTTATGAGAAAATTGTGTATCAAACTAGTTGTCCTAACCAAAAAAAAACGTACAGAATGAAAAACGCCTAAAGCAGACACTCATTAGATGCAGAGAATTAAGAGTTTGACCTTATCTATTGGCCAAGTTATAGCCTTTCTTTCTCTCCATTACACTGGCAGGAAGTGAAATGCCAAGCTAAAATGCTTCTAGGTTAAATTGGTTTTTCCTTCTGAATGTAAAATGTGCACCTTACTCAAAATCCTGAATATTATAATGTACATTGCTTAAAAAAGAAATTAGGAAAACACTGGGAGTATTCATATCATAAATTATGTAGTAGATTTAAATATTCAATTTTGCAAACCTGCAAGATTACAAGTGTTTTTTTTCTTGTGGTAGGTAGAAAAATCTGTATGTTGTATTAACAGGTAAAGATGCCAAATAATAAAACCTACAGGAGACTTTGAGTAATGAAGATGTTACACGAGAGAGATGAGTTTGAAGCTACTGGAAACAAACTCTTGTAAAACAGGACGCACATGATCCTTCAGAAAATAACTTAATCTATAGAAGAGTGAATTTTCTAAGCAAGACACCTCATATGCTGTGCATATTACAATAACTAGGTTTTAAACAGGCAACAAGAAAGTGGGATTTAATTCAACTGTGCGGCGTTTGTGTCGTAATACAATGCTAGCCCGGCGTAAAAGCTAATTGCATCGTTTGATGTGATGCGGCTTCCCTCTGCTACCCATGTCTTTGTCTCTGTGAGCAGGAGGGGATAGGTGTGTTATCATGAGCCACAGCAACACAAAGCCATTCTCGGTGGCTCCCTGTTCACTGACAGCCTCCATTCAGCTCAGAATGTGTTAGCTTTGTTTGTGAACCTCTGTCATTACAAGGCTGCCCTCGCTGAAGTTCAAAAGCAATCATTCAAACAGGCAATGAATGGGATACCCTTTAAGTAGTCTCTAATTTGGTTATGAGGGGAACGCTTGGAGCTTTCATTAAACATGTTCTCCACCACTGAGTCATATGATTGGAAAATATAATATTAGAACTTGGAAATAGTCATTTTTGAAATCATTTCTCAGTGCGTTTTAGTTTTCCACTTTAACACCACAGCACAAATAATAACAGATTGGTATGTAAATTCACATACATATTGCAAAATAGCTATCAAATGGTAAAATGTCTTGAGCGTAATAGGTTTTTACGCAAAATTAATGTTATATTCACGGCTGCAGTGTGCAACTCAGCATCTTCCGTGAGTGGGTGAGAAAAGGAAGTCACACTTATCAGAGAGGTGGTGCGTGAATCATGCCACTCTCGCACACCAGGTGGAAAAATATCAAATATACCATCAGACGCATTAAAAGGAAGCCACATTTAGCCCTTCTGCTGGCTGGCTGAAATTGGCAAAGAATCGTGCTCGCTTTTAAGGATCGAACACCGGAGTATTGCCCTCTATATTCAATTGTTCTGTTCCCTTCTTTCTCATCATGGGGCCAATATAATACATCTAGGAATTAAATCCCTGGCCACTCAAGGCAGCATGAGGATCTACTAAATGTCACAGAATCTAAAATGATACAGAGATGGCTGTTGAATAGCCCACATTGAACTGGCAGACCATTTCATAAAAAAATGTGTTTGCCCAGAAAAAAAAGGCAAATCTAGTTAAATCTGTTGTAGCCAATGTCACTCAGAGTACTAGTCGCGTTTGTGTACACAGAAAAACTAAGTGCTATTGGTAAGGTCTTAGAGGAATAGAGTGGCTTTGTTCTCTCCAAAGCTAATCTGCCTTCCTATAAATATCTATATATACAGTATATAAATATGTATTAAGACTCACTTTTCTGTGTTCAGTATTGATTAGTTGTGTACTGCTATGTTCTACCAGTGTACTGACTGTATTCTTGTACATTCTGATGTTGTTGATCATTTTGCATTTCGTCCGCCACCGTGCTGCTGTTAATTGTTTCAACATTCAAGTCTGGACCATAAGTGTTTATTTTATAAGCGGGGTGGGTTTTAATTTTTTTTAATGACATAGGATGTATTTTACACTTAACTCTGCTTAACAATATAGTTAAACAGAAAATATATATTGAACATGTATCAAAAACTATAGGAGTGCCAGTTTTGAATTTGTTGATACATCTGAATGGGCAGTGAGTAGCCGCCAGTTATTTCCAGTCAGCATCATAGAGCCATGAGGAATTCAAAGAGAAAGCAGTGCTTTAGATTGGTGGCTGTGTCAGGTGATGTAAAGAGTTGTAGGGTTAGTTCTCAACGGGGTACTTTCCAACAATTACAGCAACAGCTTTTCTGTCTTTAAGAAGAGGCAAAACATATTTTTTATAAAAGCCACCAATGTAGAAGCAAATAAAGAAATCCATTCAAATACACCAATCTTCAAACACAATGGGTTTTGAATGGATATGAAGACAAAGGGTGAATAAATCTTCTCAGGACCGTTTCTGTTTTAAGTTCTAATGTAATATGATGCATGAATGTTTTCACATTTGCAGCATCAATAGAACAACATCTTGAGAGTTGTACAGTTCACAGGCCCTTTGCTTTTTGCAGTCATGGCACATTAACTGTTCCCTGATCACTTATCATACATTAGAGAATTAGAGAAAGGAGTGGTCTCTGCCCGTAAAACATCTATCTCTGTTCATCTGACTGTAGCAGCAATTACGGAAACATTCTTGAGGTTGTGGGGGTGAATCGTGTTCTGCCTTAAAAGTGTGCAACTACAACAGTCCACAGGAAATGGATGGAGCTTTTAACAGCATTGAAAGCATTGAGTTTATTGACCACTGCTTCAAAGGTGAGCTGGTGGGTCACTGCCATAATATCGGAAAGGTCTCGCAGCTAAAGTGGAACGGCTTTGCATGGTTTGCTTAAGAGCTTCTCTGACTGCAGGATAGGTGCAACCTAGTAGGCATCAAAGATAAAGAATACTGATCATTTGACCTAATAAAAAGATCTACACTTTTTGTGGAGTCCATTTTTATTGCTTTTCAAGAAATGTTCCTTTAATTGTTTGCTTCGAAATCTTTGTGAAGTTTGAGGGTAAAGCTGTGACATTTTGCCCAAATTACTATGCCATAGGTGGAGTGGCTAGATATTGCTATAGATAAATAAATTAAGTGTGCATAAACTCCGAGCAAGTAATAACCGTTTATCATGAACAAATGGTTTGTTTTAAATTACTTGTCACATGACCACAATATGAAAGACCAAGTAGGTTTATGAACAATGTTTACTATTTTAATTTGGCAAACAAGGCTAAAGTTTCATCATGATGCTTTTTCTGGGGAGCTAAATGTATGGCCTAACACCATCTAGTGGTAAAAGTAGTTAGTGCACTACAAGACAAGAGCTGAGACATATTTTCTAGCCTTTGTTTTATGCAAGTGTATATATAATTGGTAATGCAATTTAAAATGTCAATACAACTATATTTGACGTAGATTAACTTAAAAGCATTAAACGTACTAATACAATACATTTTCAAATTGTAATATAATAGTTAAATGGGAATAACCTGAATGTATGACAGATGCGGCACAACAGCACAACTCAAGGTAAGACGCATTGCGTCTCCGACTGTTATTAATGATTTTTCAGTCTACACAATTTTCATCTGGGATATGAACAAGTATTTCACAAGCATTACAGCAGTTCATATATAAGCTACATATACCGTATATATAAATAAATAGGTAGCACCACATTACATAACAAGTTATTATTATATAGTGTTGTGATTAGATGATTAAATAAGAAAGTTATTTCCCTTTTATAAGATTTTCAAGTTAAAAAGTGTCAATGTGGAGAAAACTGTTCAACTTTAAGGATTTTCTATACCCAGATGCCACAATCTGAAGTTAGAACAAATTAAATATCAAAAGAGCAATTGGGATAATTAGAGAGAAATGCCCATGTCAATTTTCATAATTTCAGTAAAAGAGTTACCATGAGTAAACTACACTCACCAACATTCAGTTTACCACCTTTAATGTGCCGTTAGCACAGATCCAAAGTTAAATGACAGGAGATGCAGAGCCATAAAGGATTCAAGAATGTTTTATTGTTTTGCCATGAGATGACTTTTAACTTCAGCAGCACGAGTAGATTGAGGTATTTATACATTCTTACACAGGTAACAAACTGAGACATTTAGTCACATAGAAAAATAGATATTTAGCAAAAATAAACAACATGCAGACCAATATTTATTCCTGATATCTGTGCGTAAAAATGTAAAGACATAAATATACACAAAACCACGCATGTACGCAGTCACACGTGCACACAAACACACCTGCAGCAGGCCTCTTCCCCAAATGGTCTTTTTAAGGCTGGCCTCTTTTTTGGCTGAGAAGATAAAAGATAAATTGTCACCTTCAAATGTGTTCACAGTTGTTCGAACCAGACACCCTACAATCAGGTTCAGATCAAGAACATCTTCAGTGATAGTTGTGTAATTTTAGGCTTAAAGTGATGGATCCACATCATAAAAAACATTGGTGTATGCGACCTACAGTATGTTGTGTCATAGCTGGCTTGTTTACTCACTCTTTAGGAGTTGGATCTGTTCTCCAAACCCCCACACGCAGATCCCTGATATGCTTTCCATTCTGTCTGCTCTAGCGGGAAGGGGAGGACAAGCGTTGACACTTGGAGGTTCTGGACAGTGAGGAGCTGAGAGACGTTGACTCATCGCTGCCTTTGCGCTTTTCAGCAAGAGCCCTGTTGTTGCAGCCCGCCCCCTGCTGCTGAATCCCTGGAGCCCTTGCTTTGCTGCGGGGGGAGCGTTGAAGCGGAGGGCATGGCTTATTCACGTTTGAAAAGGTATCATTAACTGCTCCTTGAGAGGAGGGGACATGTGGCTGTCCCTTCTCATTGAGGGGGGGGTCCCTGATGCATTTGGAGGATTTGCCCTCACCGCCGTTTGACAGCATGGCAGCTTTCTGTAGTGCGCTCGCATCTTGCATAAGCTCCTCCTCCCGCAGCCGGGCCTTGCCGGCAGGGTTGCGCCGTCGGCCAGGCCCAAGTGTCGCCGTTGCGGGGGAAGAAGGCGATTTGAAACTGGGAGATTTGTGCAGACTGGGTTTGGTTTCCAGTTGACCCAGTGAGGTATAATCGAGGCTGAGGGAGCCAGTGGATTTGGAGGATCGGGCCTCAGTCCTGACAGCTGATCCTACAGCTGGAGACGAGACCTGACATGACCTGAGACCTGATGAGACTTGAGGCATTTTCCTGTAGGTTCAAAGGAAAAATTAAGCTCATAGGGATGTCTTTTTTTTTTAAACATAATTAAAAGCATAAAGCAAAACCTCCAGGCAGAAGATCCAAGACAGCCTTAATTGGCAGTCAGGTCAGCTATTAGTAAGATTGTAAGGCTCCAAAAGGCCCATAATAAGGCAGCTAGAGATGTGCATGTGACCCCCCAGGTGGTCTACCTGCTGTGTAAAGTGCAATCAATGTTTTTTTCTATGTAGGTTTGATGTTTAAACAATATTGTTTGTGCTGTATAGGGCTAATCGTGGGTTTGTACATGTTTTAGGACTCCTGTAAGAGTAGCCCAGTTTGGCTAAAAGAGAACATAATAAATTAACCTAAATCAAATCAAGATATTCTCACTTACCCCGATGTGGTTCTGGTGGATCACTTGCAGCCTCATTTTGTTATGAGACCGAATATCCATTGGCTGATCCTTAAATATTGTTTCTGCACTGCCTGCTTGAGTTCTGAAATCTGACTCCATCAATACTCTTGAAGCAGGCTAATACCCTAACTTTTTTTTTTTTAAAGATATCTTTTGACCACGGTGCGTCTATTGATAGGTACAGTGTTGAAAGGGGGAGCCAGAGGGGAGTACCCACGTTATTCATAAGAGTATATTAATGTTGTTATTGGGGTAAACTTTGAGGAACTATTTTATTTATCCAAACAGGTGAAATATCTATAAGGTAAAGTAGTGACACTCACTTCCACAAATGTGTGCTGACATGGTGCTCCAACATGGCACTGACGGCGAACCGCAGGTGATGTAAACGCCGGTTGAAGGTGAAGATGCTGCAGCCCAATGTGCGGCATCCAAAAGTGCATAGCTGGAGACGAGAAACCATTTTATAAATACAAACAAACTCATGTCCTTTTCAGAGGTGTAAACAGTGAGATTCACAAATCAATGAACAAATATTTTTATATACATTTGTTTTTATATTCAGGATTGTGGGAAACGGTATTTCGATCTCTCTGTCTGTACACACAAACTGGAAGATTGACGATAAAGTTGACTTTGAAATTGAAAAAAGGGAAAGAAAAATTGAAAAAGAAAAAAGAAAAATAAATGCTCAGTGTTTTTCACTATCCAGGATTATCGAAACTGCTAAAAATGTCTCTTCCCCCCAAAAAACCTAGATACTTTTGCACTGCACTGCTACTTCTGCACTCACCCCGAGAGGTTTGGGGTGCAAGGGTGTGGCAGGCAGGTCTGTGTCTTCATCCTTCTCATCGTCTTCACTCTCCTCGGCCGACAGCTGGCTCTGGTTGAAGGCACGTTGAGGCGGGGCCTCCACTTCCACAGCGCTGTCACATTCCTCCTCTGGAACATTTTCTGATGGGTCCTCAGACCTGCTTTGAAAGCAAGAAAACCAAACAAATGAGAACAATTAATTCCACACAATCAGGCAACACAAAAATACTCAACATGGTACCGTCTGGATAACATTACCATACACAAAATATATTTTTCAAATGTAATGTTTTGACTGATCAACACAATCATTGTTTGTCTTGTATGCTTGTCATTTTGCTACTTTTACTGTGTTCTGTCAACTAATAATGAAACATGTCGTGATAAAAACAGGTTTAAGTAGATCGTAGTGCCCTCGTAGCTAACCATCTCAGACAATGTTTGAGAGAATTAAAACATCTTCTGCAGTGATAATTTATGTACTTTGTAAAATAAAATTAACTTGGTAATTGTATAATATATAAATATATATTATACCTGGGAATGTGAAAGTTGCTGTTAAATGTTTTACTGGTCTGAGTTGTTTTTGTATCTTCAAAAGCTTCCAGATGTTGCTCTTTGTCTTTTGAATTAACAAGAAGCTGATCCAGAGCATGACCTATGGAGGCTGGTTTCTGCTCCTCTGCCAACTGGGCAAGTGTGTTACTCCTTCCCAATGCTTTCTGCTGCTGGTGGATGGAATCAGTCTGTGTGGAGAGAACAGCGCCGAAAGACAGGCATTACAAAGAAAAGTATATTTCTATGAATAATGAACAACAATGAAGATACTGGTATCAATATTGGACAAAACACTGAGCGTTTACATTGCATATAAGCTCCCGGCTGCACAGCTTCTTCCTCTCTGGGTCCAGAACTCTGCTCTGTTTGTCCAGATCACATTCTTTCTCTATGGGAAATAAAGATAACACAGAAGTCAGTGAGCAACAGCCACAGTCAGCATGATCTCGTTTTTAAATGGTAAATGGTAGAAATCAGCAGCAGGATACACACCAGATGTATAAACAGCAGACTTACTGCTGATGTTTTTGTAAATCCGGCTGTAGGTTCTTGTTCCCCGCTGAGGACTGAGGGCCTCACTGGACTGCCCAGCTGTGGTCTTCTGCGGCGAGGGTCTCTCTGAGGGAGAAGTGGAGGAGGAACAGTGGCCAGGGGGCAGAGGTCCCGAGTGCCAAGCAGGAACCCTGGGGCGAGGCGTGGATGAGGGGGAGGAGTGAGGAAGGGGGACGTTCTCCTGGGGGAACTTCTCCACTGAAGGAAAGCTGCAGGGGTAGAGTGAGAAGATAACTTAAAAATTAGCTCATGAGATGTATGCAATTCAGGATTGAAATGTAGTTACAGCAGGAGACCAAATTCAAGGCAATAAAACTGAAAAAAAACAAAAAAAACACACATAAACTTAAACCAAGCAGTGTAAACTTCACACGAGTACTCAACACTGATAACTGTCAATTGTGTATTTAACCTTTGTTACTATAACTTAAATACATATTGAAACAAGGCAACATCATCAAATCTATATTGCACATATAAACGTGTTCAAAAAAAATTATATATTCAGATGTAACCTCTCTGTAATCACCAACATTTTGATTGGGAAGTGAAACTTAATGATATGTTTCTCAGTGGTCTGTCATTGATTATGATTTAATTTGTGATTTCATGACGTAACACTGTTGCATGTTTCTCCCCAACACTGGAAGTAAACAATCCTAAAAGGTACCTCACTGCCTCCTTCTGGGCCGTGCTAGGCATGTGCTGGTGTGCAGGTGGTGCTGCTGAGGAGGGGGCGATGGCTTCATGACATCTGCCACCTTTCTGCCTCTCTCTGGAGCAGGGATTATTTGTAGAGGGACGAACAGAGCGGGGTCTCGGCTGTGGTGCCGGAGACTGTCCACACACTTTAGTGAGAGGACCATGCCGCCTCTCACAGTGCTTCTCGAAGGCCTGAGGCTTCACCACCTGGCCACAGTGACTGCACACCACCAGGTACATCTCATCATGTGACGGGCAGTGGCCAAATGTGTGCATGTCTATGGAGGAGAAAGCTAAATAGAATTAGAGGGAAACATCTAAGCGTGAGGGTTTCAATAAAAGGGATTGAGTCTCACCTTCTCTCCTGAGGGCCATGGTCTCACAGCGGTTCCTCCCATTCTTGCTGCTGTCTTCAACATTAGACCCAGCTGTATTAAAAGCAAAAACATTCAGCATGACATTTTGGGATGGGGCATAGCTGTAGCATCTTCTAAGAAACAGGTTTATTGATATCCGGATAGCTTTGCTGAGTAAAATCCGGAACAAGTCATTCACATCAGTACGTGCTTCAGATTTGGTGTTTCGCGGTATTTTATCTCATCATTTTTAAAGTTTTCTAAATAAAATGTGAGTCTTTAAAACTCTCCTTCGATACACCCACTGCCAACATCCTCTTGTTATGTGGTCGAGTCGCAAAAATGTTGCTATTAGCAAACTGGTTAAATCCTACTTAGAAACGTCATTGTTGTTGTTTGGTGTGACAGTAGCTGGCAGGCTAACGCTAACGGTGACATCACCTGTCCACAGGATAGAAGCTTGCATTGTATTAACCAGCTAGTGTTTTATGAATACATTACAAAATGCCTTAGAAACAATGATTTTAATTCGTTTTGTTTGCTTGTTGCAAGTTAACATTCCTAGCAAACTCCCCCTGCACTAGGACCTAGCGGGTCTTTTGTTTGGGTCGCGCTTTATGCCGCTCTATGTGTATGTGGTAACAACAAATAAATCACAGGATTTGGGCACTGAGACATGATGGAAACCAGGTCCGGGACAGGGGATGCGACTCACCGTCAGATGGCAAAATATTCGCTTTAACTACCCAACAACTCCAGTTTAATCCGACAAAATCGTCGAGATTAGGATTTCGCCGATCCAAAGCGGCCATTGCTGCTCTGGCGCGTTCACGAGGTGATACTGTCAGTTCACGCGCAGCACATCCGCGTCACAAAGCTCGTCCCAGCTTTCTCAGTAGTAATATTATGCAAACATGGATAACAAAGGAGTGTTTGGAATTTGAAACCATATGTTGCAAAAGGTCCACATCTGTGTTGCTTTGTCACTTCCATAAAATATATTAATTATAAAGGGTATTAAATTGCATTTTCGTGAAAAAGTATCATTGTTAAAAAGTGTTTTTTAATATCAAAGTGTAACATTATTTTATACACAATTTTGGATGAAATTGATACTTTAGGATCATTAGGGTAGTACATTATTTTAGAATGTTTTCCACATATACTTCAGTTTTCAGGACTATATTCAATGCATGATTTAATAATGATAAACTGACAGTTTAATCAAATGTTTCTTTCTTTCTTGATCATAAACAAATACCACTACTAAACCACTACACTGTTTTCAATTCTGTAAGTGACCTTATTCCTTTACCTCACTATATCCTCTAATTGTATAGATTGGATGGAAAATATTAATATTGGTGGTAATCTTATTTAGAAAAAAAAGTATTCCCACCAAAATAGGAGCACTTAGTTGTGTTAAGGCAAGGTTGACTGACTCATACATGTATCAGGCCCTGATGTTTTCACATCTGCCTGAGAAAATTATCACTTGACTGGACTGATGGGTCAGGGGGTTCATTTGAAAGAGTGTGGCCCAATCCCAAACCACGCCCTACACCCCTCCGTGACGGAGTGAACTCCGTGGAGTGACACTCGCAGCTCAACGAGGCTCCCTCCTGTCAGATGGAGGGAGTAAATACAGCGGCAAGCTTTGGGACAAACTCCCCTCTCTCCGGCAGAAACAGGAAATGCCGTAACTGTATGTAACAACGGTTTCAAATCAGCATCTCTTAGACAAAACATTAAAATGAATAACTAAAATAAAACTCCAAACATCTGTGTTAAAACCTGATTTTTATAAGCTTCTTAGTTTTTGCAACAGTCTGTAAATATACACAACTTTATAATAAAATGCACACATTTACCTAAACACAGGTATGATCCTAAGTTTAAACAAAAAATGAGGTTATCATGAGGTGGTTAACATCGCAATTTATCAGTGGATGTTTGCTGGAACTGTTTGTAAACAGCGTGTTTCCTGACGGACACACAGCGTTGAGACCGGTCAGGTAGAGACCGGTCTCCAGTCAGTACCGATGCAGACTCGCTGTTTGATGGCTTGATAACCCGCTCCACACTCGTTGGTTTGGAACAGCAAATGTGGCGGACCCTCCGCGCGATCGGAGGGGTAGGGTTTAGGGCGTGGTTTGGGATTGGGCCTTCGTTTTGTGTGTGTGAGGATGTTTCTGGTGTCAGCTGATGATGATAGAAGCAGCATGTCTGCCATCTAGTGAATATCAAACTGTATTGCATGCTACCGAGCTTTGTTTGCTGAATGCATTATTAGTGAAAATATGAAGAAGGATGAAAGAAGAAAGTGAGGCATTCCTAGTTACAGTCCCGAGTTGTGAATCTTAGGCTCATTGCAGGATAGGAAAAATATATTATTTACCTGACTGATTCCCAAACATTATGTGATCTATGTGTGTGCTTTCACCGGTGCAACCACCAGGCGTAAAATCAGACACGTTACAACAAGGGCAGTTCTTGTTTTAATGATGCACGGCATTTCATGTCCACACAGTATTTTCCTGGAGTAACAAATCTCCAGTCTCATCTAGGCTTTATCAAAGTAGGAAATAAAAACGAAAGCTCATCTTATAACAAAGTGGAGGTAGAAAGCAAAAGCAATACAAACTGTTAATTAGTAACAGGTTAGAGATTATTCAATTGTTTCTAACCACCAGTTAAGGCAGTACACTTTATAGTACATTGGCTTCGAAATAAGTTAGGATCTTGCTGGAGTAATTAAGAAAAATGAAACATCATAAACATCAAGGCAAAAGATTGGAAATTCTTTGTAGTAAAGGCAGTTTTAAATTTAAATTCAGAGCGAAGGTTGAAACGGATAAATCCTCTACAGCTAACATGTTATTCTAAAATACAGACTTTATCCTTATATAGTGAGGTGATGAAGTGCATGCAACACAACACAAACTATTTGCTTTCACCTATTATGAATAATCTCATGAAAGGCAACTGGATTATAAGGAATGGACTAAAACTAGATTTTGGCCAGACTTGTTCTAATAATTATTTCACTTCAAGTATTTAATATTTATAGCTATTTTGAAATGCAAACACTCAACAGCCCTGAGTTTCTTTTGTAAAAAATGCTGATGGCAGAAATGATTTATGGATTGAAGTTTGGCAAAGTGATGCTACATTATGATTATCACAAGGCTGCACAGTTTACATCTACAGCTCCATTTAAGATAAGGGGCCCTTTGATGTGGATACCTGAGTATATATATACTAAAACATGAAATCTGAGAATCAATGAGAATAACGTTTTTGACTTTTACAATTTGCTGTATTTGTTAAACTTTGGACAACTCAAGTTAACGTTTTTTAATGTTTTTTGTAAAAGAAAGCCTTTAATATAAAATTAATAGCAGTTAGGTTTGGAAATCTTAACAATTAGTATCAGTAATACAACTACATGTTAGACCATTTTGAAATGAGTAAGCTGTGCAGTTACGACGGGCCGACTCCCCCCTCCACATCAGCAGGCTGGTTGGCTGATTTGTGGAAAGGTGTTTCCTTGAAAATGAACCAGCAGCTGCCACACCACAGGATTAGGTTAAGAAAACCAAAGATCTGCCAAAGAATAAGACATAAGTCAAATATCCTACACTGTGGCACACAAGTTTATGTATTTCTGGAAAAACGACTTTGAGTACAACTTACCACAGAGGCGTTTAGTCGGCCCATGTGAGGGGTAGCGCCTGAGGTACACTTGTTTGCAACATCACTGCAAACATCAGAAACGCTCACAATGTGTGAAGGACTGGTGGCCAACTTCACATCAGACAAGCCTTTAGCCCAAGCAGAAGATGAGGCCAACCACAAAAAGGCAAAGGCTGCAGTCACCAACAGGTCCTTAGAGAAGAAGAGTGATGAGTCAAAACTATTTAACCGACACAGTGGTAGCTGCACTAAAGCAGCTTTCATGGTTCAAGTACCTAGTGCTGCTGTGTGTTTCTTGTTGCTTGGGAATGACACCCTTCCCTGTTTCATTTACACCACCCTGTTAAATGTACCTTCTCTGACCTCTAGTTGGATTCCAGGATAAGGAGGACTCAGTGAAATCCAGCAGCTAAAGTCTGATGCAACGTTTTTACACAAAAAGCAATATAAAATTCTCAATTGCCTGCCTAGATAAGATTACATTCATTTCCGTAAAAATACATTTCTGTGGTGTCACTAGATTCAAGATTCAAAGGTTTTAATGTCACATAAGCTAAAGTGTAGAAATGGCAATGAAAATCTTATGACCCGAGCTCCTCCAACAATGCAACATAGTTATATAATAAAATACAAAATAAAAATAAAAAACAGTGCAAGAAGTCTATGTACATGTATTTAGAATATGATATACAAGAACAGAATGTAAAATTAAATATTGTACAGTAAGATTAAATTAAATAATGGTTGTTACTACTACATGTATACAGCAGCTCAAAGAAAACACATGCAACACTTTCTTGCTGCACGTGGAGAGGAGGACCTAGCTGGGCACAAGCATTTCACCAAAAACAATGGTTAAAAAGGAGAATGCAGAAAAACATACCACAGTGGGGCCACGACTAGATGCTCTATACACATGCTGGAAGCCCAAGTAGAGAACGAGTGTGGCTGTGGTGTAGAGAAATGCCAACACTCCAATGCAGACATAAAACTGTGCAGAGGAGGTGTGGTCTCCTGTCAGGAAGTTCGGAGTGGTGGTGGTGGTTTGGTTGGCTTTGCAGACAGGGACATTATACGGATGCTGCATCAACCTGTGTAAACACGTACATGTATTGTTAATTATGACACTCCTAAGATTAAACACTCATTACATTAAGCTGGTTGCTCACTTTGAAGGAGTGTTAGAATGGTTGGTTCACACACACCTGAATGGGTAGTTAAAGTCTGCCTGTATTTCTAGACTGGCACTCCCTTTGCATTGGACGTTGATGCTGGATGAGCCGCTGTACCCTCCAGTCGTAGCAAAGGCAAATATGGCAAACACCTGCAGCCGTAGACACAAGATAGGGAGGGACACGTTGTCATACTAGTACTGATCACACTGTTACAGTCACACACACTTCCTTTTTTTATTGTGCAACACACTTTTGACAGGAAATCGTCTTAATCAGCGGATGCCATCATTACAAAATGTTGTGCAGAGTTCACAAAAAACATGTCCTTCAATGTAATACCGATAGACTATAGTTATATAGACCTACTAATTTGTAGCGTCAGTGATGTACAGTAACTAAGTGTATTTACTCAAGTACTGTACTCAAGTACAATTTTGAGGTACTTCTACTTTACTTGAGTATTTTAATTTGTTGCTACTTTGTACTTTTACTCCACTATATTTATTTAATACTTTTAGTTACTTTGCAGATTTGGATCACTGAAAGACGTTTAGTTGAACCTGCAGTACAATTCACAAGATACCCTGCAGCATACAAAGTAGTTAAAACTAGCTGCACCTTTACCAGCACATGAATGCATCCATAATTATAATCAAAACATATAATATAAGCAAAACATATGATATATTATTCTGAAATGGGCCGATCTGCATAATGAGCACTTTCCTATTTTGATTGCAGGACTTTTACTTGAAACAGAGTATTCCTACACTCTGGTACTTTTATTTAAGTACAAGTACTTTTTCCACCCCTGGCTTGCCCAATGTAGGCCTACCATTATTTGATTAGAGACGTCATCAACTGTAGCAGTTACAACATAAAGTACATTTCTACATTATAATATCATTAGCTACATGTGCTACATTAAACATGCGTACACACATTAGCTGCCAGTGTGCCACATAGCTTGTGGGTTACAGATGGTGTTGACTGATAGACACCGCCTGATCTAGCTTACATACCATATTTGAAACGGTGTTACAACTCAAATCATGGCTGGCATAGCTTCGCAAGGCATGCAGTGGTCACAAGACAAACAGCATAATCAATTGCTGCGACCAGGGATGGACAGCGTATGTTTAACACATTATATGCCATATGGTAAAAGAGATTTGGAAAAACGTACCCATTGTAGCAAACGAATAAAAGCCAAAGGCTCTTTCAGAGGTCCCAGGTCTAGAGTGAAACCCGAAGACATCACTTTCTGAGGAGAAATAAACACAAAATGAGAGAGAGGTACGTCTGCGGAAGAAGTAGGTGTGTTAGCTAAAAAATGAAAGTGTGCGCCATCAACCGTTTTCACTCTTCCTGTGAGTGTTGTTACCTGGGCAACGGTTTCCATCGTGTGTGTGCAGATAAAGGACCGTGTGTATCGAGGAAGTCTCTGTTTGGTCTAGCTGCTCGCCTTCGCTCTCAGATCTTCGGGCTTGTCAAACTTTTCTCCAACTTCAGCAAGTTGAAGTGTGTAACACGTGACCACTGACGGTGAGGCGTCGACAGGGGCGCTGCTACTACTGAGCAGCCACTGTGACCGAGTCAGCAGCAGAGTGCTATGTTTGAGTCTAAAGACTGCAGACCAGAGGTGGGAGAAGTACTCAGATCTTAAGTAAAAGTAGAACTACCACAGTTTAGGAATACTCTGTTGCCAGAAAAAATCCTGCTATCAAAATGTTTCTCAAGTAAAAGTACAAAAATATTAGCATCACAAATAGCCTACTTAAAGTACCAAAAGTGAAAGTACTCATTATGCAGATTGGCCCATTCCAGAATAATATATTATAATGTATGATTATAGTTATTGATTCAGTCATGTGTTTATTAAAGCTGGTAAAGGTGCATCTAGTTATAATTACTTTGTATGCTGCAGGGTAGCTTGTGAATGTAACTCCAGGTATAACTATAAAGTCTTATTTAAGTGTTGTTTATATTTCACATTATTGATCAAAATCTGCAAAGTAACTAAAGATATGAAATAAATGTATTATAGTAAACGTACACAATTTTCCTCTGAATTGTAGTGGGGTAGAAGTACAAAGAAGCAAAACATTGAATATTGAGTACAAGTCTCTCAAAACGTAAGCACAGTTTGAGTAAATGGTCACCACTGACTTTAGACTATTCACTAAACTGTTGATCACAAAATACAGTGGTGGATAGTAACAAACTAGATTTACACAAGTATTGTACTGTTTTGAAGTATTTGTATTTTACCTGAGTATTTTCAGTTTATGCTACTTTTTACTCCACTACATTTTTTTTCACCGCATTAGTAACTATTATTAGAGTTAGATTATTAGCTAATACGAGATATTATTCATAATCATAATCCAGTAATTAAATATGATTCTAAAATGGGCCTCTACACATAACGACTACTTTTACTTTAGGTAAGTTAAGTATATATTAATGGAGACACTTGTACTTTTACAAGTAAGATTTTGAATGCAGGACTTTTACTTGTAACTGAATATTTTTTAACTGTATTACCATCTACTTTTACTTAAGTAAACATTTTTTAGTACTTCCTCCACCATTGCAAAAATAAAACATGCTGCCATAACACATGCAATACTCATGGTCTATCCTGGCAATAATAGGCCTACTTAATTTAATAGTGTAAATGGTACAATTCAGCATTTCCTTATATCAATGTTCCCTTATTAATTGTTGTTATACACACTGTGGCCCATAAAGTTGGAATAAAATATGTTTTACTTATTCTCATGAAATGATTGTGTGTGTAAAAAGAGGAATGTGTCTGAAAGCAACATTATTCCAACTTTATGGGCAACAGTGTATTAAAGCATAATAAATATAATTTAAACCCATATTTCTTAATGCTGTGTTTCTTTATAATTGCTTTAAATCCTTTTTTAAATATATTTTATTTGTAAACCCACATTTTACAGTAATATTGAATACTTAATATTTCATTAAAATACTTTAATGAAATATGTCATTTTATACCAGAGTATGGATTAACAGATAGTTGCATTATTACAAGTGGTGGTGGTGGCATGTTACTGAGTCATCCATAGGCTACATTTGCTCAAGTGCTTTACTTCATTACACTTTGAAGTTTCTTATACTTTACTTGATTTATACCTTATCCTTACACAAGGTGTGTTTATATGTTTATAATAGAATGATTGAAAGTATGAAATTAGATAAAGATACTTAGAAGAAACAAGGATCTCTTTTCAATAGAGGTCACCATTTCCTTATATAACATTACTTAACTAACCCCTTTTATACAGAGCAGGCCATGTGTTTCCCATGACTCTAATCAGTGTAGGCCAAACTCATTCACACAAATGCTGTCCATGTGACATTTGGGGACTTTTTGTGTGATGTAAAACATTTAATAAAAATGACGTGTAATTCCTCTCTATTTGGGTTGAACTCTTGTGGACAGGGAAATGTAGTTTCATCTCTTATTTGCCTACTGTCACCCTACATGACAAACAGGATGCAACCAACAAGGAAAATCTGGATCCTCGTGAAAAAGCATGTCTCTTATTATAACAGAGTACATCTCCAAGGAATAAGAGTGGCTTTGTTCTCCACCTTTTAATAGTTGACTGGGCTGCCATGGGGGAGGGGCTGGAACTGCATTGTACAGTCTCTTTGTGGAGGAATGCTGCTCTACAGATCAGATTGTTTGGCTTTCTGAGTGAATCTGGGAATCATGAAACACACAGGCAAGAAATTATATAAGAATAGTCCTGATGCTCCAAAACAACAACAGAGCTGGTCTTAGGTTTCAGGATCATTTGTTGATGATGATTGTTGATCACTTGTTCAACAGCTTTTCGTTTTAAGATGTCATGAGATGACACCTTTATGTTGTTGCTGCAAGCTTACAAACTTGTCAAACAGGTTGTGCCACTCGATAGGCTAGAGATGAGCATAAGGAAATACTCAGCATGACTATTTTATCCAGAACCTTCCACGTTTTACCAATTGTCCTGCTGTGACAAGGCAACAAAATCCTCTTGCCCAACCGAAAGGTTATGGAGTAGATGAACTGGCAACTTCAAGGGAACCTTTTAACTGCATATTGCAGTGTTGGGATTAGAGTTTGTGTTCTGCAGTATAAATATGTTCAATCAGTTCCATGGCGGATACGGGTACAGGATTTTCCCCCTGCATCACATGACAGTAGTCATGGGTTTGTTATGACCTGCACTGTCCCATCACATGCACACATTTAATCAAGAACCCAACATGACTCATTCCAACCAACAAAATGAAATATAATTTTACCAATGCAGCAAGCCACATCAAAAACGTCTCTTTGCAGGAGTTAAGATCATAAAATCATATGATACAAAGCTTTATTTAGTGGGAATGCTGATACAGCATTCCAACTATATGTTATGCTACGGACAAAATTCTTATTATTCCGTCCAGTTATTTTGTCCGTCTTCTCCTCCCACATTCAACATCGCAGAAACTCCGTTCAAACATCAAAACGTTCAGCTCGGTCGAGCGCTATTACTTTTATCATTCATAACTTTCATAATTCCAGAGATACATCCCATAATTCATCAGATTTTTTACATTTGAACTTTAACATTGCGCAACATGTCTCCATTAAAACCCATTGTAATTTCAGGCTGATATTTCCTCACAGCAGCAGCCGCACACCTTTAGTTAAACTGCCAAAAAGGCCACATTATTAACCCGAAAGTACACAAAAATTACACTTCAGATACTCAACTACCTTGACATGCTTCACGTTTTGAAATTTCACAGATATCTGTTATCGTTCTTCCACAAAACGTTCACATGTAAGAGGTTTATCTGTCATTCAGAACAAGCAAATCTTTGATCTCTTCATAGCTCGTTAGCTCAACTATAAAACACCTGTGTAATGGAACACGATTCTCTCTCGATAGAGAGAGAGAGAGAGAGAAGAGAGAGAGAGAGGAGAGAGAGAGAGAGAGAGAGAGAGAAGAGAGAGTAGAGGAGAGAGAGGAGAGAGAGAGATAGAGAGAGATAGAGTAGAGAGAGAGGAGAGAGAGCGAGAGAGAGATCTCGAGGCTAGATATAGCGTATAGAGCTCTCTCTATCTATCTATCATATAGTCTATCTCTATCTCTCTCTCTCTCTCTATCTCTCTCTATCTCTCTCTCTCTCTCTCTCTCTCTCTCTCTCTCTCTTTCTCTCTCTCTCTCTTCTCTCTCTCTCTCAGCCTCAGCCTCTCAGCCTCTCAGCCTCTCAGCCTGGAGTCGGCTTGACTCGGTTTGCAATGGCGGGAAATTGCGTTGGCGTTCTTCGTTGCAGATGAAGTGGATGCAATAGAAATCCCACAATTATTATATCACTACAAATGAATGACTCAAGTGTCTGTTCATTTTAAAACAAATCAATACAAGGGGGGTTGAATCCTACATGTAAAAGACAGAACCACTACTTTTCAAAACTACTTCCGTCAGTGGTCTTGACCAGTTTGCATTTATAAAGAATGCACAAATGTGTTTAATCGTTAATGTCAGATATGGACTAAGTAAATAAATTGGTTCCTGCTCAAGATTAGATTCAACTTTATTGTTATTGCAAAGATTACAGGTACTGAGATAACGAAATGCAGTTTAGCTTCTAACCAGGAGTACAAAAAGCAGTAAAGTGAAAAGTAATGTACACAATCTACAGAATAAAATATAGAATGAATTGAATGATGAATAAACAGTGAGGGGTATGAACAACAGGACACAGGAGTGGTTTAAATAAACTGGGTTTTTTTATTTACCCAAAAGTCCACAGAAAACATAATAAATCAATAATTTCTAATAACTAGGCCTATAAAAGAGGTCAACAGAAAGTACCTCAAAGAAACATGGCATCAACTTAACAGGTGTTAACTCAACAAACTGACGTGCTACAATGAAAAACAGTGACTTGGCCAAACCAAGTTGAAACCAAGGGATAATTAATAGTAAAAGAAAACACAAAGGACACTGACAAAACCCAAATCCCCCCTTTAACTTGGAAGCAAGTGGTTTGTCCCAATCTGTCCCAATTGGCTCCTTGCAGTATTTATGAGTCCTCAGCGCTCGGCCACGCCCTTTGCTGAACCAGGAAGTAACCTCCCCCAATGGACATGGTAACTCAAGAGACAAAGAAAGTAACTAATACAAACAATTTTGTCAGTTAATTTATGTAACCGTCGCCAAAGTTTGACAGTCCGACGTCAGGCCGCTTAGTGAAAAAGCAAGTTAAGCTAACTGTACTCGGCAAGCTTATCAAAATGTCTTGCACGTGTAAGGTTTGTAAGTTCAGTACAGGGTCCATTCCTGCATGCATTTGGTTGTTTGTATTCAAAGTGTTTTCAAATATTGTGTATTATCTAAGAATAGTGATAATGTATTTGCCAAACAGTGCCTTTTGTTGTGTCTCGTCAAATGTGTTAGTTATGTTTATGTATTATGTCTGTCATTTCATGTTTAGTCAGGTTTTCATGTTTATTCACCTCATGTCAGGTC